ATGAAGCCGGTCAAGCCACTGAGCCAGAGTCCCTGATCCCGATGAGCGTTGTGTCTGAGAGAGATGGACAGGTTAGCACAAATACACATGTACTGATTTCATTAAGACCTTAGTGGGTTTTTACATATGAGCTCTGGGAGAATCTGGTTCAGATGTTGTCTGTTTCACATATGTAGCCCCGCGAGCGTCTTCTTACTACTGGAAATATTGTGTGGATTAAACAATGGACCTGCCTGACTTGAGTGTTGTCAGACACTAGAAAATCTCAGGGTTGGGGTGAATTTGATGACTGGTTAAACTAATTTTCCACATATTTTTTGTGTACTTACTTTACTTTTTGGTCATGACTGAACTGAGCTTTATTAACAATTACTCTTTTTGTTGTTGTTTTTAAAAAAAACAAAAAAAACCCTTTCCTTATTTAGATAGTTTTAGCTGGAGACCCCTGTCAGTTGGGTCCGCTTGTGAAGTCTAAGATAGCCAGTGCCTTTGGCTTTGGGGTGTCTTTGTTGGAGAGGCTGATGGCCAACCCTCTGTACTCCAGACAGGACTGGGGCTACAATCCTAAGCTGGTTAGTGTTCTACATAAAGGTGTTTATGCTGTTGAGCATTTTTAAGTTGTTGTTTGTTTGTTTTTTTGCAGAAATGCATCATATTACAATGTGTAAAGATAAAGGTTTTAAGATACATTGCAGATCTAATGATAAATGAACTTGACTGGAATCTGTCAGTATATTTTCAGTCTACATGATAATCACAGGAGTGCTGTTTCATTACAACAACAGGTAACTAAGCTGGTCTACAACTATCGTTCTCATGAGGCCTTGCTCACACTGCCTTCAAAGCTCTTCTATCAGGGAGAACTGTGCTGTAAAGGACCCAGGCCTATTGTGGACTCCCTGTGCCAGTGGAAAAATCTGCCCAAAAAAAGCTTCCCACTTCTTTTTCATGGAGTCAGGGTAATGAAAGTGATAGGTTCCTTTACTGAGGAATGTTATATGACACTTTGTTGGGATTGCTAGCTTGCATTTTTATTTTGTTGCATGTTCTCTTCCACCCCCCCCCCCCTTTCTCTAGGGCACAGAAATGAGAGAAGGTAACAACCCATCATGGTTTAACCCAGTAGAAGCTGTACAGGTCATGCTATACTGCTGTCAACTGGCAAAGAAGCTCTACAATCCTGTCCATGCCTCTGACATTGGCGTTATTGCCCCCTACAAAAAACAAGTAATGAGTTTACGATTCATCACTGTAATGTTTTTTTTCTTTTACTATTTTATTAGACAGAAAAAAAACCAACACTTTGCACAATTCAAACTGTTAGTCCTAATGGCTTTTCAACTTAAAACTGGCCAACTGCACTCCTGTAGACCCTAAACTCTTCTGGCTTTCCTCACCAGTGTGAGAAGATTCGTGTCCTGCTGGGGAAGGTGGGCCTGTCGGACATCAAAGTGGGCTCTGTGGAGGAGTTCCAAGGACAAGAGTTTCTGGTCATCATTTTGTCTACGGTAGGCAAAAACATGTTTTTAATTACAGGTAGAAATATTGGACTGTATTTTCCTCTAAGTAAAAGGCTAGCTGTTTGATTTTTATTTTTTAACATGCATCTGTGTTATCAAATATCAAAATATGTGCAGTATTTTGATATTAATTTTGCATATAATTATATATCAAATTATATCAAAGTTGAGTTTGACTTTGATATTATTATTATTATTATTATTTCTTCTTTGGGTTAATCAAAGTGGCAGACATGGGTGGGTTTTTTTTTTTTTTTTTTTTTAATTGTCATTTGGATGGTTGGGTTTAGATTTTGGTGTAAACAACAAAAGCATAGATCATCCTACCTTGTATTAATTGTTCAGACTGGTGGTGATGCAACAGGTTACTAGCAAGGTGCAACTAATGAAGTGGCCACTGAATGTGTATATCCTTTAACCTCATATTCCACAGGATTTAAATAGTGAATACACAAATTAAACCTGTACCATGTAAAATTTCCACTATACTGAAGCCCTTGTTTATTTATTGAGTTTTTAAAAAAAAACATTTTTAATATACAAGCAGACATGCTGATTTACCATACCATACCACCTTTATTTATAAAGCACTTTAACATAAAACCAGAGTTCACAAAGTGCTGTACATGCTAAAAGCATAAGTAAAGAAAATTAAAATGAGATAAGATAAAATAAATAACTAAAAAAAAAACTAAAATAAATTGAAACATGTTAAAACAAATTGAGTCAACCCCTCTAATCAATGCCAAAGGCTTCAGCGAATAAATATGTTTTAAGAAGACTTTTAAATTCAGAGAGAGAAGAGGCCTGCCTAACATGCAAGGGTAGATCATTCCACAACTTTGGAGCAACTACAGCAAAAGCACGATCACCTTTAGATTTATACTTAGCTTTCGGTACCTTAAGGAGCTGCTGATTGGCGGACCTAAGGGAACGGGCAGGTGTATATGGTTGTAGATTTAGTTCAACCTTGTGCCCAAACGTAAACCCGTAACATTTACATATTTTATGTTCACTGTCATGGCATTTAATCCATATAATTCTTCTATAATATAGGTGCGCTCTAGTGAGTCACTACAGAGTGATGATCTAAAGAGTACGCTTGGCTTTCTGGCCAACCCAAAACGCTTCAATGTGGCCATCACTCGACCCAAAGCTCTGCTTTTAATTGTTGGAAACCCCCACATTCTCATTAGGGTGAGTGACCTCTTAACTTCTTTTTTTTTTTCTCTCTCTCTCTCTCATCATACTGGTTGTAATAAAATGCATTCACCCTATATGTTCTAAAATCATAATTCCTTTCCAGGACCTATGCTTCAGGGCTCTGCTTGAGTACTGCTTTATTAATGAGGCTTATCTGGGCTGCGATCCTCCTTCCTCTCTTCAAGATGTTCACACGTAAGTAAACAGGTTCATAATGGATATTCTGGACTATTGCAAGGCTACTAATCAAATATTATTTATTGTTAGTGCAGATGGTATTCTGATTATTTTTTTATTATTATTATTGTTGTGCAAAAATGTGAACCCCATCTCATTTTCCCACAGTGTTGCAGAGGAGCAAAGGAGCACATAAAAGGGACAAAAACAGGGGGTGTACTGCAGCAGTCAACCTGGCAATCAAATTGTGTTTATATTTGTTTTTCCTCCTTCACGTTTTCTCGGCTTGTCTCTGTGTACCTCTTAACGTAATTGCTTTAAAAAGAAAAATATCTTGTTTGCCTAAGAGCCAAATGCAGTCCCACTGGGATGAGAAATAAAGGTGATACTCATGATCAGGGCCCAAGCGTTCTTGTGTCCTACCATTAAGTTGATGTGCTTGACAGTGCATAAGATGGTTCTGATTTTTGGGTGAATTACCAAGAATTGCACCTTAATGGTCCCAGTGTGTTTATCTACCCAGTCTGCACAGTAATGGTTCCACAGTTATTTGAATGGAATCGACCTTGCTTTTAAAGCAAAAAGAAAGTAATGTGGTGCCAGCTCTTTGATAAACAAGAGAAAATGGATACAACAAAACAAGCTTTTGGTATATTGAGGGCATTAACCTAAGCAGATGTCTGCGGATTTTATGGGCAAGTTGTCTGCATAAGTTGATATAACAGTGTCTGCCCATAAGACCTAGAGACTGGATGTGACAATTGAGTGCTATTGAGTCTAAGTCTGCACACTCACCATCAGCCCTACTGGAGCCCAGTGGGTGGAGTAATGGGAAAAGAAAAGACAAAAATGGGGGTTCAGTGTCTTTAAGTTAATGGGTCTATTAGGAGCAGGGAGGGGATAACGCTTATCTGAACTGTGAGAGAGCTCAGCTCAGACACAAAGTCCCTTTTCTTTTCTTCCAAAAGACACCCCCGTCTTTGATGTATGCCTCAGGTGTTTGGGTTTGTTTTTTTTTCCTCTGGTGTCCCACTTCTCCAATAATAGCTGTACCATAGAGTGAAGAATACCCATACACATTTATATTGTTTAAAATAATGTTGCTTTGTAGGTTCTTAAGTTATAGTCCGCCAGGTTTCTCACTTAGATTTTGAAGCATGATGTGTTGTGACGTTGTTTTGCTGGCACAGTTACTATTAATGAATTATTTAAGACTTTCAAATGCACAGATTAAAACCCAAGGCCTGGAAAACAAATTTTTATTATCACATAGAAAAAAGGTTACTATTTTCCCCACAAGATGCTAAAGTCAGTGTCTGAAATAAGCAGACAGTATAAACCCACACGGGGTGTTTGTGGGTTTATTTATTTTGGTCCCAGGACAGTGTGTATACCAGCATTATGTGCTCACATGTAGCACATAATGGGGACAGTCCGTGCCAGCTGCATTCTCACTAGTTTGTGCTTATTTTATTATAGCAGATAGCAGGTGGTGCTTGTAAGGAGGTAAGACATACCTGTGAATTCCTCAGAGCAGACAAGTTGGTTACCAAAGGAGGAGGGGGGGTTATATCACATATGGAAAGATTGCATCAGCCCAAGCCTTTCAAACAAACAAAAAAAAACTACTTGCCATAAAGTGAAATGTCTTGGCCAGCTAAATATACAGCAAAAACGCAAAAGTTAAGATTGGTTAATAATGTTGGGGGGGGAAAATGAATTAACTCATTAAGCAATAAGCTGTTAAAACAGGCTAGCATGGGCTGATTTTTTTTTTCTTGTAATCATTAGTGAATGTGCGGTTAGAACTACTAGCTAAAATTTGTAGATAAGTAGGTAATAATCAATAAATAGTTAACTTAAAGTATTCTTGTTTTTATTGTACTTATATAGATATGTATATATTAGATGTACTGTAAATACCATGTATTTTTGTACCACTATTTTTGCACCATGACACAAAGACAAATTCCTCATGTGGGTAGAAACTTCGAAATAAACATAATTCTGAGCTAAATATGATACATTTACCTAATGAGGGACAATAAATTATATTTCTGTAAGCTGAAAATTTGTATTTTATGCATTTAAACAGGGAAATTCATTGAAAAACTAAAAATTCTGCATATAAATATATATGCGATTTTAGGTATTTAGTGTAAGAATCACTTTAACTTAAATGAAAATGGTAACAGGTAATGATGGGCTGTTTAAGTCCATATGACAGCCCTGAACTTAAAAGTTGATCGCTTGGTCGTACAGATCCTCTGCTCAATGTCTATGAAAGCCAGATGGTGCAGAATATGTAGGAAAATGGCTAAAGCTACTCTTAATTGTTGGCTTTAAGGGATAATTGTCCAAGCTAGACCGTCTACTGTATTAAGACAGAGCTGCTCAGGTATTAGGATCACTACACTATCACCTTTTCACTGAGGTAGGGGCAGGCAACACATTACCAAGACAGACACTGTGTCTACAAGGCAGCCATTAGGCTCAACAATAGATCCCTGCTGGGCACTCAGCAGGGGGAGCTTGTTAAATGTGTTGACCTATTCTCCCAAATTAGTCTTGAACTATTATTGCTCAGTTAGTCCCCATCTTACTGACTGTACTCGTCTACCCAAGCTCTGGAACCAGTCTCTGCTCATCAGATTGTAAAAGTTGACTAAGCTGTTGCTCAGTGGAGGGCTTGCAACCATGGAGGGCTCAATGGTGCATTGTCCTCACAGCAGACAGCGTTGACACGCACAAATGTGGTCAGTCAGAAAGCACTTTACTTTGTCATCTCTGATCACCAGCCACAGGAGGCTGGTTAGGATAGAGACTTCTTGTTTGTAAGAGAAAGTCTTAGTGGCATCAGCCTCAGATACAGATCTAAACCTAGAGACAGACGACATCAAAACAAACATGACGATGCTGTAATGGAGTTCTGTTGTATTGACAAATGAGTGTCTTTATCTATGGTTGACAAATAAAGATGAGACCTTTGGTCTGTTGAATGGGTTTTTGGGATGCACTTTAGGCATAATTCTCACTGACGGTGAATGCTATACATTGCTGTGTTATTAAATTATTTATTGTTATTATTTTGTAAAAAAAAACAAAACTTAAAAAGAGTATTCTTTGACATATTTTCTCAGGATATTTTTCCCACCTCAAATGTACATAGGAAATTTATGGACATGTTACTAGAGAAAGAAGAATTAAAATGGTCTAAATTCTCTAAACTGATCTGGAATATGTCATTATGTCACTGTATTGGTTAATGAAACAGGAATTTTCTCAGCTTCTATTCCATGAAATGGATAAATTAAAGAGTTTACATCTGGATCTGAGGTTGGGTTATTGGTAGATCAAAGCCAGGTGTGCCAGAGGAGACACTGGTTTGCTAATGAGAACTGGAGGCTCTTCAGATGAGTCTCCAATTAGGAAGCAGGAACACATGAAAGAGGCTTGCCGTATAAGGGAGACAGCCTGACTGTCTACAAAACCTCATTTATTTATTTTTAAATAGAACTTTCAGAGATGCAAAACTACTTCATACACAAACTGCATTCCAAAAACGCTGGGATGCTGTGTAAACAGAATGCAATGATTGTTATATATTAGAAACCCATATTTTATTAATGTTAGAACACAGAAATATTGTGGAACAGTTCCTTAACATAAATTTGTTAAGGACTGGTGAATATCTAATGAATCGTCTAAATAAAATTGTTTGAAAATTACGCAAATCTGGAGAAATCTCTGTACGCAAGGCTGAAAATCATTGGACCCCCATGATCTTCAGGTGCTTAAAAACAGGCATTCTTGATGGAAATCACTGAATGGGCTCAAGAACACTTCCAGAAATCATTGTCCGTATACCCTGTTTGCTGTGTCATCCACAAATACTGGTTAAAGTTTAGTCTTGCAAAAAAGCGGCCCTGTGTGGACATAATCCAAAAATGTCAGGCCAAAGGTCATTTAAAATGGACCGAAGCGAACTGGAAAAATGTTCCACGGTTAGATGAATAGAAATTTGAAATTATTTTTGCAAAACATAGACTCCACATTCTCTACACTAAAGAGGAGACAGACCATCCAACTTATCACCACTCAGTTCAAAAGCCTGCACAAGTGAAAGCACATCATTAATACTTAAATGCACATACAACCTTGAAAACAGCATCCTGACAACACAATTTTCACTGTTTAGCAAGACTATCCTAAACCTGTAACTGCAGCTATTACAACGTGGCTTTGTATAGTTGACGAGTCTGTGCACTGAAATGGCCTAAATGCCATCCAGACCTTACACCAACTAAAACCAGTCGGAGCATCATAAAATGAAAAATAGGAAAAGAAGACCCGGGACTGCTGAGCAGCTGAGATTTTATAACAAGCAAAAATGGGACAACACTCCCAAAAATCCAGCAGCTGCTCTCCTCAGATCTCAGACATTTACACACTATTGTTTAAAAAAACAGTAATGCTACACAGTCGTAAACATGACCCTGTCACAACTTTTTTGTGTGTGTGTGAAATGTTGCTGCCATCAAATTCAAAATGACCTTTTTTCCCCTGAATACTGAAACTTTCCTTTTTTCTTTCTCATGAACATTTTTGTGCCCTGTAGACCTATAAAAGCGAATGCAGGAGACCGTGTGACTTAACTGAGTGGTGAAAGTTGGGGCTGGGATTCCCCAGTTTTTCCCCCTCCCCGCCCCCCTATTCCACACACCATCTGCTTACTGCCACCCCCCCTGTCGTCTGCGGTCATCACAAAACAAGTCGTTATCTCCAAAGACACGTCTCTGCATCTTTGATTGGTGGTTGATAACAGACCTACAGACTCATGGGGCTGGCTGACCTTGCTGTATATATATCATGCCATTTCAGCAGAGACTGGCAACAAGAAAGCTGGTTTAAAGCTCTCCCTGTTTATCCTTGTGTCCTCTCCTGGTTTGGCTTTCTGATCCTGACATTATGGCTGTTTTCTTCACTGTGGCTCTTATGACTATGGCTTGTCCTTTACTGGCATTTGACATGGGTCAGTCTACTCGTTGTGTTGCCATTCCCCACAAGATGCATGTCTGCAAAGATGTTGGATACTCAGAGATGCGTTTGCCAAACTTTTTGGGCCACAGTAGCCTGGAAAGCGAGGTGGTGCCACATTCAGAGGATTGGAGGCCGCTGTTGCAGACAGGCTGCCACCCTCAAGCACAAGCCTTCCTCTGCTCCCTCATTGCCCCTGTTTGTCTTGACACGTAAGTAGATTTTCTGTGTTGAGCTTTGCTTTCTTTTTATTCTTTCCTTTAATAATCATGACAGTTGTAATCTTGTTTGTTCACTGTGTAACATCTTGTTGCTATTTGTTCAGTTTCATCCAGCCCTGCCGTAGTCTGTGTGTGGCAGTGAGGGAAAGCTGTGCCCCAGTGCTTGCCTGCCAAGGACACTCATGGCCTGATGTTCTTGACTGTGACCGTTTCCCTGCTGAGGAAGACATGTGTCTTTCTCACCATGGAAAACCTGGCATCTTTTCTAAAGGTAAAGACTACATGTTCATTATTAAGGATTATAATGTTTAATTCCACTGGAATAATAGAAAACCAGTTCCACTACTCTTTCAGGTTGTTTTATGATTACTACAGTTATTTTAAATAATGTTTGATTTTTATCGCAGGGTTGCCTAAATCTGCCTGTCAAAACTGTCCTTATGTGGAAGAGGCTCCTGAATCAAAAACAATCTTGGATTCTTTCTGCAGCCATGATTTTGGTACGTTCAAAAAATCTCTCAAAAAGCTGCGGTATAGTCACATCTGTTTGTTTTTGTCACAACTTCCGATTTTCCTAGTGTTTATTATTATTCATTTTTTCCTTTACAGCTGTTACTGCCAAACTCCACCGTCTTCGCCTACCCACAGGAGAGCCAGAATTTGAAATTGAGGGGCGGGTCGAGTTTATCCGTCAGGGTCCTCTGTTGCCTTATGACACCCAGCATCTGCTCCAGCAGTGGCTCCTTATCAACGTTAGATGTGCCCGTGCCCTTGTGCGTCCTGGGAGGTCACAGCTTTATGTGCTGACTGGTTCTGTGCAGCATGATGGGACCCTTTCTCTGACTCGTGTCTTCCCTTGGCACAGAAAAGATGCAAACATTGCAGTGGCATTTCGAAAATGGAAGCACCACAGATGTTGAAGGGACATGGACCAAAACTGGAGCTTGAAATCTGTGTTTTGAGGCACAGATGGAGCTCAGTGGCACTGGGTTTTAAGAAGCATTTGTAAAAGAGGGTAATTGTTATGAGAACAGACTCTGACTCAAGCAATTTGCTCATCTGAGCAGGTCGCCGTCTCATTTCATCTTTGTTAGTGCTTTTGTTAGCACACTGAATTAAGGCGCACTGAAACCTGTACATAGTATTATACATATAAATTTATAGTAGATTATATTTTCTGTTAAAAGCTGTATTTATGATGTTCCGTGTGTTGTTTGGAATAAATGACAATAAAATAGTCGTCCTATGAAACCACATATTTGTGAGGTTTCTTTCCCTCATGCTTATGCTCAAAAGCCTTGCTTTAGCCTAGTATGTTTATCTCTTTATTACAACAGTTATTTAGTTATTGCTCTTACAAGAGAGAACTAATAAAAATCAGAAATAAAAACCACTTAACACTTATGTCACCACAAGGTGGCACACTAATGCCACTTGTTCTGAAACATTGCATAATACAATGTAAAACTAACACCTAGCATGCAGTAATGGTTACAAATTGGATTGCCTATAAATTGTTCTGCATAAGATGCCAAACTGTTTTAAATGTCTTGATCACTATGTTCACAGCGTGAGGCCCATTCTGTGTAATGCTAACGAGAAGATCAATCACTCCCTTTACATTTGAATAGTCTTGTTTTCACAGCTCGGCCAAACAGACATAGTTCATGAACAATGGATGTGTTTGGTACTTTTGAAAAATCTCCTTTTGGGTTTTATGTTGTCTTGGAGTTTAAAATAAATGCTAAATATTTGACTGTTTTGGTGAAAGCCAATTCAGCCTCGGGAATAGCTGTGAAGTAAAATCATCAGCATTCCATATAATACACAATGTGTCACATGTCTGATGTGATGAAGGTTACTTTGATAATGGTCATTTATTTAAACTCATTTATGTGAACTGAAAATGAATAGGAGACAAGCGCAACAAATTAAAATCTTTTATTTATCCCCAATAATAATGTTCTTTATTTGAAATGTCTGAGTAAGTCTAGTGTCTGTAATACTTTTTCCCGTGTGGGTACATTGGCTAAGTTGCTAAATAAGCAAATTGTATGACGTGAAAATATCATTTTTATCCACTACAAACAAATTTGTGTTTGTGGAATTTAAGAATGGTGTTTTTTTTCTTTCTTTCTAATTGTTCATGCCTGAATTTTCAATGCGTGGCAACGCGCTGGTCCCGATGGACAGGCGGGATTCCATGTTCCCTTCCATTCAGATCTCTCTATTTCATAGAGTCACACAACAGTCTTCAAGAATGCATGGCATCTCACAGACCTGCATGCTACATTTGTGGGGTTTTTTCATGCTTAACAATGATCATCAATCACCACACATTAGCCTTTATCTGTCATTCATTTATCATCATCAACCACCCTCATTTGAGTTGCCATTAAAACAAAACTATAATTGTGTAGTTTGTTTCCCCGTGTTCACAGAACAAAAATATTATTTCTTTCTTAACCAACAGAAAGTTCCACACATGGTAACCAAACACCACGTGACCAAGAGAATACTCAAAGACTGAAAGTGAGTTCATGATGTTGTTAATGATAAAGACATATGGTTAAGATAAGTAATGTCACTCAATCATAGTAGCAAGACATTTTTTTGGTATGGTGACTGGAGTGATGTTTTAAAGCAACAAGTTATTTAAGCTTTTCTTTCACATGCAACAACAACAACTGACAGGGTTGATTCTGACGTTATCTGTGGGTCTGGAATGAGCTCCTGTCACAACTACTGGAGCATGTAACGGGATCACAATCAGGATCAACTAGTACAGCTTCAACAAGGGTCTAGGGCTCACTGATACAGTGCATTTTAATGATTCACACTGCAGTTGAAAATGTTTCACTTTGTGTTCACTGCAAATCTCAGACGATTTTTTATGTTTGCAGGAATGAAGTATAAAATATAATTATGGCAAATTATGGAATATATATTTTGCGTCTTCTTAATACTCAAAAGTTCACTTTTAGTCCATATATAAATCCATCATCACAATGCATTCTTTGAAAGAATTTGTTTTTTCCCTGTTATTCTTTTCAGCACATATTCGAAACATGGGTTACATTTCTGCATAGAGTTTAGTTGTTCTTCAGACTTTTTCCGGCTATAAACAAGGAGGATTCGACCATCATAACCTGCTGCTTCTGCAGAGACTCCAATAAAGTCAAAAATCATCTTTGCAGCCTGAAATGCACTCAGCTGGACTGTGATCACGATAGCGTGTGATCTATATACAATTCTGTTTTAAACAACAATTCATTATGGTTTTTGATACCTTCATTGTAATTATGCTCTTCCATTAACAAGATTATATTTAAGAGCAATGAATAATATATAGTAGGGTGATCACTAAGCACAAACAATGTCTAAAACAGGAGTTATTGAAATGCTTTATTTACAGTTGGACAAAAATATTTACAAAGTGAAACATGAGTTCCAATGGACTTGGATTACAAACAAACCATAAGTGTAGAGCTTATGAAAATGTGAAATATAAAACAGCCTAATATGGAAGTGCAGTAAATGAAGTGAATCATTCCGGCCTTTAATGGACTCCAATTACAGTCTCTCCTGGAAATACTTGTCAGAAATACTTGCCATGAAACTGCTTACTGAAGCCAGTGCACTGCAATGTGATTGACCAAGCAGCTGAACCAAATTGCATTTATGCCAAGAAACGTGCCATACACAGACAATGTTTCATCCATATATTTTTAGAACCATCAGAGTATTGTAGTCTTTTTATTTTGTAGATGTAAAGTTTGCCCCCTCCATACATTATGACCTCTCATGTGTCTTTGGCACTCTTTTGCTTTGATGATCTCTCTGTTTTTGCATTAGTGTAATTCTGTGGTTCTTCTTCCTGACCAAGACCGCGGGCCATGAGCTCATCCATTGGGGAACGAATGTTATGAACCTCCTTCTCTTTACAGTTTCGCCACTTCATGCGCCGGTTCTGGAACCAAATCTTTACCTAAAGCAGTGCGACAGTGTAAAGGTTTTAGATCAGTTTGTGAAGTCCTTCATTATAATTATGTTAGCTTCTCATTTTAAGTTGTAAATGCAGTTTAGAGATCTTGGTCACTGTGTGGAATTTAGGTTTGATCTTTAAGGTGAGCTGTTACAGCTGTCACTTTCCCCTGCACCCTTTTGTAAGGCAGGATCACATATTCGAAACATGAGCTCATTTGAATTCGATTACCTGTGATTCCTTAAGGCTGAGATTAGCTGCCAGTTTGTTCCTGTCTGTCTTGCTAATGTACTTCTGTCTTCGAAAGGTCCTCTCCAGCTCCTTCCTTTGTTCTTCAGAGAACACAGCTCTCCTAAGGATCCCTCTACGTGAGTTTGGACTTGCATTAGCAGACCACATCTGAATGTTTGCTCCCTCTGAAAGTGAATTAGAGGAACAATAACATGTCAGTTTATTGACATCAGTTTCAAGTACTAGACATATTCAATGGGCTATTTATTAGAGCAATAAAAATCAATGGTGGGTGGTTCATCTCTGCAAGGTAGGTTGTAACACATACTGTATCAGTTTAAACAAAAAGTGTAGATTCATGAAAAAACATCTTGGAGAAGGTAAGTAGCAGACAGTGGAACACCAAGGTAGTGTCTTATAAACGGAAACAGGTTATTCAAGCTTTGGATAAAATCGGATCTTCTCCACATTTATAATATATCCACTTACTGTTTCACATTTCCTACTTTTTCAAACCCAGTTGTCTTTGTCACACTTACTTTATCGCACATTCTTGAATCCTCTTTCTATTTGTCCAATTTAACAAACTGAGGGTGACTAAATGAGAATAGAAAACCATTTCAACCTGGAAAAAGGAGATTTGGTGACCTGAGAGGGCCAATACCACGCTGCTTCACTCACAGGTGCACACACAACAAAAGTCAAGTGAAACAATTTATCTGATCTATTCAACATTGCCTTTTTAATCTGTACGACAAATCTGCACATAGACCACCTCTAGAGAGCACAAAACTGGTTTGGACATGCTTTTCACTTCTCTATTGGCATTCAATAGCTTTTACTTAAATAGCTGATTACCAGGTCATTCCTGGGCAACGTGTGTCTACTCTAGTGGGCCAACTATAGAGCCATATGGGACACCAACAATAGAGCTGTTCAATGGAAATGCCATTACTCGATGGTTCAGTGGCCCAACACTAAATCTTTTCTCTTGCAAGTTTGAAGCCAGTTTGTATGTGAAGATGAGCTCAAATAAGTCTATAAAAGTCACTTTCATTGAATGCTTTATGTCCTAGTCAAGAGGTCTTCAATGGGCAGGAATGAGAGTTGAAGGACAGGAGAAAGACGGGGGGTCGGCGAACCAAGCTCTGTAGCCACACAATGGGTGGGGGATGTTACTTGTCCAGCCCTCTTCTACTGAAAAATGGGAGACTTTTTTGTGCTTAGTGGAGTTCATTGCTGGAGTGAAAAATTGCAGCGAGGTCGCGTGTGGATGGTGGAGTGAAAGTGGCAATTGGTCACGGCTAGAGTTGGCATTGTTTCGTTGCCGGGCACTGTGGGAAAGTGTCAACCTACTAAGGGGACCCCAGGGACTTGTGGGATGACGGCTTTCTGATTTGTGCTATTTTGCACGACTCTTGACAGGCATCACAGGGTGCAGAAACTAATAACTTCCAATTAATGAGGGAAAATGACCAAATATCAGAACTGCCTGACTTATTTCAGTCTTTTAAATGATGATGAAGAATTAGTACTCTTCACAAATTCTAAATTAGATACTTTGAACCATGCTTTAAAAAATGTAAATTTTCCTTCAGTGGAAGCAGTAATAGCTTTTGTAACTGTTGCCTCATTTTATTCACCTTGAAAGTTTTATTTCAAACTCTTTGTGTTGCCACCCAAACTTGTTAATGTGCTGAGGGAGTAAAGCTTTGAAACATTTGGCCTTACTCAGCAGTAAGAATCACCCACACCTGGTAATTATTATCTTAATATAGCAGAAGACAAGATGTTTATTAGTGCTGCATATTTGCACTATTAAATGTGTATTTGCATGTACAAAAAAAGGTGCGTGTCTGTGTAGGGGGGCCTTTGGGACTCTTAAAAGCCTTGCAGCCCACCCCTCTTTCCCTTTCCTAAACAACCGTGAATGCTTATGAATAGAGCTGTGCAGAACTGAACGGAGAATTAGCTCTTTGGCATTGCATCGGTAATTAGCTGTGGAGAGCATGGGAGACCCTGCTGCTAATGCTT